TTTTTTCTGACCAGGAAAGTGGGTAGTCAGTCAGTCAGTCAGTCAGTCAGTCAGTCAGTCAGTCAGTCAGTCAGTCACTCAGTCACTCAGTCACTCAGTCAGTCAGAGTTTATTTTAGTCAAAAACCAATATAGAAAAGTGGTAGGTATCTCTGCTGTCCATCTCTAGGCAGATTGTTCACCTCCTACAACACAGTCATGAAGAATATTCTGAAGAATGGCTACCAGTTTGATACAGTAGTAAGGAAGGAGAAAGGAAACATTGGCTGTTGTGGCTTCTGAACAGAGAACCCTTTCAGAAACTCTGCACCTGCCTGCAGGACTTTGAAGGTTCTCACCAGTTCCGCAGCTGTCACTCTTGCTGGAAACCCTCAATCCACTGCTGGGAACGGTGATGGAGCAGAAAAGTGAAGTCTTTCTGTATGAGATTCAATCATTGTGGGAACAGTGGACACAATGATTCATTTCACTGAGAGTCCTTTACAAAAACCCTCCCTTGCTTGACAAATGGGATCTAGCCAGAATTGCTACAGTAGATTGTACAATGCAGAACTGGATGGCTTTTTCAGCCTGAGATCTCCACCCCCTATGATTGTCAAGGTAGGACCCACCTTCAATCTTAGACCACACACTTTATTCATCTTCCCCCCTAAACCATATGGCTCATGTTACCCATGCACAGGATTTTGAAAGGGACAAAAGCAATGTTAGATACCCTTCTCCCTTTTCCCTCCATCTCATTTCTTCTTTTCCTTTCCTTCCATCCTAGGAATGTATATGATACTTGGTCTCAATTGGCATGGAGTCCAGAGAAGCTCTCATGTAAAAGCTATGTCCTGGCTAAATCAAGAGTTAAGGTTAAAATTATGCTCAGCTCCTGGAACAAAGGAAAGGATTCCACAACCACTAATCTGGTTAAGTTGTTTTCTGAGGATTGAATTAGATAGCCCTGTAGGGTTTCTACACAATGTAATTAGTAGTCAGTTGCATTTATTCTATGTAATCATGTTATCTATCTTAAGGTGAGTCTTAGACTTCACTCTCTGGAGGACCATTATTAAGGAAACTCTTCCGTCAAATCATTCTATGAGGCCAACGGAGGATAATAATATAAGCCTTGGTAGTGCTGTGTTTCTCCTATGCTGTACATTTTGGAAAAGGGACTCGGTTCACTGTCTTAGGTAAGTAATTCTCACAAATTACTTGAACTGATGTAGTAGTTATTCCTTCTCAGCAAGGATCTCCGGAAGCTATAATTCTGCCAGGGCTGGGAAATCTTTTGCAGGACCTCCACCAAAATATAGTAACCTTTGTTTGGGGGAGGAAGCCATGGCAATTAAAACTAGTAGAAGACAAAAATAAATTTGTGACTATCATTTATATATATTTTGCCAGACCAAGGCATACATACACAGGTAAAATGTGTTAGTCATTAACCAGCATCATAAAATGAAACAATTTTCTAAATGAATATATAAACATATAATATAGAGCATAAAGAACAAACAAGTATAAAAATACAAACAAAATTGCTAACAGGGTCATTTTTTTTCCAATTTTTCAATGATTTTGGAGGATTATGTGTTCAATGAGGGTCTTGGGGAACTTAAATAGTTAGTCTCTAAGGAGCAGTAGCAAGGCATTGAACCTGATCTCCTTTCCAAAGATTTCTTAATGCTTGTTGGGCAGGAGGAATAGCACCTTCTCCTTTTCTGACCCACCAGAATAATTTCACAGAAGAGGGCTTTTAGATCTGCACACCAGCCTCTACAGAGAGGGCAGTACAATAGCAGAAGTGTGACCATCTCAGTATCACCAGCATATTTGGTCCTGATCTGGGATGTCGTTTGATCTCTTTTCCATAACACTGAAGACCAGGCATTAGAAATTGCTGGAGAGAAGGCTCTCAAATGCGGCAAGTGCAAGATGTTCAAGAGGTGGCCGGAGTGAATCTTTTGTCTTGCCCTCGACATAGTTCTGAATTTGCACTGGGTGTGTGTGCATGTTTGTGTGGAGACACAGAGACATATAATGACTGTTAAAATCTTCATGGTTTCATTAAAGACCAAAGAACATTTTGGCTGGTGTGGGTCTTCCGGGCTGTGTGGCCGTGTTCTGGAAGTTTTGTTTCCTAACGTT